ATGGTCGTATTTGGCAAAAACCGCTTCTTGGTACAAGGTTTGGTGGATGTTGTGAACCAGGATTATCTTCATCTCAAGGTTATTGGTCAAGACATGACATTTGATCAAGCCGAGGCATATTGTGCGAGTCAAAAGATCCATTTAGTCTCAATTCACAGTCAGGAAGAGAACGATTTTGTTTGGGAACTCGGTAAGAAATCGAAATGATTCAATTATGAAAATTCATGATTTTCGTAGAAATTTATGTTTTATAAACCAAAAACAATCAGTATTTATTTCAGCGAAAACTCTTGCGGAACGGGGGTTCTGGATCGGAATGAAGGTTGAATTTTTCTTATTGAAAGACCTAAATAAATAAAAAGAAAGTAATGATTCTTTCAGCCATTTTTCAGCCAAGTTTCTCTGTGAAAAAATGAGCCGTTTGACTGATAGTTCTTTGATGGAAATCCGAAATGATAGAAATTAATGGAAATCTAATTTGAATTGAAAAACTAGAATAGTTTTAAAATGGAAAAAAAATTTGGTTGAAATAGCAATAGTGAAACTTAAAAATTTCTTAATTTAGAGAAATCCGAACAAAGGAAATGCTTTGGAATGGACGGATGGAAGTTCGGTGGATTTCACGAATTGGTATCCGGGATACCCGGATTCGGACACCCACGCTTATGTGAGATTTTCAACGTGAAATCATCAATATTTATTCCAATTTCCTATTCATAATTAATCTGAAAATATTTCGATTAATCTGAGGAAATTTCTTTTTGCGAAATACCGCCGATGTTTTATCAAAGGATTTCCATCAGAAATGGACACATTTCAGCTTCAGAGCTACCATGGGAAATGGGCGGTCTGGTCTCCTGCCAATCAGCGTCCTTTTATCTGCAAAAGGAGTTCTCAATTCTGATGAGTTCTTTATGTTCTTTTCTATTTCTATGGACAAATACCAATAAATCCCATTTTATTCAATCTTCTGAAAACACACAACTGCACATTATCTTCTTCTTTATTTCTGAATTTTTTGTTCAAAATCTCTTATAATAAGTTTTCCCAAAAACCCAGAATTCCGCCTGAAGCTGCAAGTATTTTGCTCTCTCGTCGCTCCTGAATAGACTATTAGATGCCCGTTAGTGATGTCAAACTGAAAGCAATCAAAATGGATTTCATTCGAAATTCTCCATTCATTTTCCTCGTGATGTTCTCGGCGACGTTTGCGAAGAATTACGTGTGGCTAAGCGAATTTCTTTGTCCAAATCCAAAAGCTCTTTGAGGCACGAGTAACGAGTGAAGAGGTCCGGCGAAAGAGATGCTGTTCGAGAATCGCTTTGAGTTTAACAAAAATCTCTTTTCAACCAAAGGAGTCCCTATTAGTCCAAATTAAATAGAATAACGGCATAGATCGAAATCTCGGCGTTCCATGGGTCAATCGGGACGCGATCAATTTGTGATCCTTTTGCAGATTAGCTCAAGTGCTTAATGATTAGGAAAAACTCTAAAAAGAATAGGGAAAATGGGTAATCTATCTCAACTTTTGGAGACATAAACAATGGGTTGCCCCAGAAAAACCAAACCGCAAACTTACCAGAAGGAGTTCAGGTTATGTGTTTGGTGGAACCGAGAAGAAGTTATTTACTGGGAGTTGCTAGAAGTAGGGACGACTATCAAGGCATTCCTATACGTTGATCAATTGGATCGAGTCGCTTCTGAAAAGAAAAAAATTAGGCCAAAAATGGGCAAGTTCATTTTGCGACATGATAAGGCACGGCCTACGTTGTAAACTTGATTAAGGAAAAACTGACGACTTTAGACTGGAAAGTTCTCCCGCAAGCGCCGTAGTCGCCTGGCTTGGCCTCTAATGATTTTCATCTCTTCAAGAAGATGGCTGTTGATTGGGCCAACGAGCATTTTGGAGGTGCTGAGGAAGTCGTAGAGCTGTTCATGCAAATCTTATTGTTCCCAATCCTTTTTGAAAGTTGAGATTAGATCGAATTCAGATTTGGATCTGTCTTGAGATAAAACACCTACAACACAACACTTTTGCACATTAGCTAAAGGAGTTTTCGATTTGCAAGCCCATGTGCATTCGGAGATGTGACGGAAGTGGCGAATGCCTGATGGTTCCACGCAAAGTGAAGGAGCTGGAGTTGGGAAAGGTTTTAAATGGAAAAAAGCTACAAGTCTGAAACTGACTACTGAAGTGGAATGAGAACTAAATTTATCAGAAAAAGTCCAACACTCACCAATGAGCATCAGGAGAATTGTCCAGAAAAGTTTTTTCATTGAGTGTAAGCAATTTTTGACAACTAGCCATTTTAAAGAGGTCATTCGCCTAGTTTGGTCTCGTGAATCGGTCAATTTGCTATTGAATGTCAGGTCTATTCCTTTATTGTTGAGCTAGAATTCGAATGACCGTGCTAGGCTTTGTAGAGCAAGCTTAGGTCAAACTGTTATTGAAAACTCGCTAAATCCAATAAAAAGATCAAATGATTCATTTTTGTTGGCCTTTCACCGCCCACACGACGAATTTTTGGTAAAATAGTTTCACTTTCAAATGTTTGTGCAAAATGTGATTGAAAATTGCTCATCTTGATCAATCTTAGGAGTTTTTTTGTGAAATAACGCAGAGTGGATTTCCATCAGAAATGAACTTATTTCAGCTTCGGAGCCTCGAGGGGAAATGGACGGCATATTCTCCTACTTCTCAGACTCGTTTTATCTGCAAAATGAGCTCTCAATTCGGACAAATGTCTTCTGTCCTTTTCTGTGGACAAATACCAATAAATCCCATTTTATTCAATCTTCTGAAAACACACAACTGCACATTATCTTTTTCTTTATTTCTGAATTGTTGATTCAAAATCTCATCTAAAAAGTTTTCCCAAAAACTGGGCATTCCGCCTGAAGCTGCAAGTATTTTGCTCTCTCGTCGCTGCTGAATAGACTATTAGATAAACGTGTTGAACATCAATAGACATCAGCATGAGGAAACTGACAATTCTTCGTGAAGGTCGCTCTTCTCGTCCCTCGACTCGTCGATTTACCTTTGATTTTTGTTCTCTCTTTTTGTTCTCACCGTTAGTTCTATAGGCGGAGATATTTGTCTATTTTTGGGTGATGTTAACGATTAAGCAGGTAGATATTGTATGTATGTATTGTAGATATAATGAGCTGTATAGGTCTTCATAGTCAAAAGCGAATGAAAACCCATTTTCAGACGAAATTGGCTCGATGAAATCATTTAGCTATGTACATATTAGTGATATTGTACATTATACTCTTTCAACAACTCTGTTCCATTCACAGACAAACCTGACTAATTGATTTTAACCAAGACCTCTTTTCTTTAGTCCAAATTAACTAGAATAACGGTATAGATCGAAAGCTCGGCGTTCCGTGGTTCGATCGGGAGGCGATCAATTTGTTATCGCTTTCCAGATTAGCTCAAGTGCCTAAAGAGCCTAAATGATCGTAATGAAGAGGGATGCTTTCAAACAATGATCATCAATCACTTTCTTTGGAAGTCGCCGTTCTTGAAGTATCCCGAATCGACGCTGTCCTCGCCGTGTTTGTGCGATTCGATTTGATGTCTAAATGTTGCACGTTGGTTAAGAACACAGATAAATTTGCATTAGTTGATCTCTTGACGTGTCAACCCACTTGGATCCGGAAGTTCGGAATCGATTTTCTCCGGCACCCACGTCGAAATGATGCTAAATGGGTTGAGTCTGATCTAGATAGGTTCTTTCCCAACCTTTACATAAACCGAGTTTTGGGGATTATCCCTCAGTGTTTGGCGAACTCCGGCTTCCGTCCTCCCGCCGGTATTTTCATGTGTGTTCCCCAGACTTTGCAAAACTCCATTCAATGTTCTTTAATGCATGGTTTTCTTGGTGATGATTGGTAGCGAATACTCATCTCATTTCGGAAAATCGTTTTAAGGAACAATCGAAGAATGGCTCGTTTGGAGGGATCGATATATCTGACTGCTCCTTTTCGGGGGCCGAGGCCAAATGGACTGAAAAGGGCAGCAAAGCGGACGCCACCCGGAGTGATGACCATGCAATTGCTCGGCGAGATGAGGAGCGCCAGAAATCGCAAATATCCACAATATGATATCAAGGATCATTCATTCCTAATCAGTGCAGTCCTCGGTGATTCGGAGGTTGGCGATCTCAGTTATATTTTCAGATAAAAAGGGCATCCATTCTCTGCGTGGAAGATGGCAAAGAGTCATTGATAATGATGGCGAATATCTTTTGGATTGAGGCTCTGTATTAGGATTTTTATAATAAATTTTGTTTATGGTTCCAACGGAAGTTCCATCTGCACCAACCTAATAATTTGCTATTTTCTTGGTTGACTGAGTATTTAGCCCTTTTTTGATTTCTTACCTCATTTTTGGACACATCAATTTCCTTCACGAACTCCAAATGAGAAGAGGGCTCTCCAATTCCAAATCTCGTTACCATTTTGTGGACTTCATTTGTTCTCCTATAAAGACCGCATTTCCGTATTTTTTGCTCCACGAAACAGTTTTTTGAATCAAATTTCTTAATCAACTTTTGAACTATGATGTTATTACTTGTTATTATTATTTATTATTTATTTGTTATCATGATTATTTATTTATAAGTTTTTTCGTTTTCTTAGAGTTAGAAATATTCTCTCAATTTTACCACCCTCAACACACAAACTCTCAATTCGATTTCTTTCTAGCGTTCATTCTTTTTTGTTGATCTTTTCAGACGTTTCTTGACCTCTGCAATAATGAAAAAGTAATGAGTGAAGCATAGTGACGACAGGGTCTAAAGGCCTTTATAATAGAGATCAAGGAGAGTCGACTTTAAGTTCTATCAAAGAACTATCAGTCAAACGAATTACTTTTTCACAAAGAGTCTGCCATTTTGAAAATGACTGAAAAAGGCATTACTGTGGGGAATAGCCACGAAACTAAGCTTCTGCTCAACCCCCCAGATGGAGTCAGTCCAATTCGTGTCTACCCTATGCTCTTCCGCTCCGGTGTTCCACGAACAGACCAGGGTTACATTTACGCAAATACTAGCGGTGATGCGGCTGCTCTAGTACAGGTGAAAAACGTACGAAGTCAAATTTTTTCTTTAGGTCAACCTTGGAGTAGACGCGATTTTCGCAAGGTTCATTGACAAAAGCGATGATGCGAATGTTTTGGCTGATCAAATGAGGGCAGACATCTCGTTACTCCAACCACAACACATCGATATTGATGACAAAGCTGGTCAGTTAGCCAATGTTGCTTTTTCTTACCTATCCACATAACTTTGACTTGAAAGTAAATGCAATGTATATCGATTGAAATTGCAGCTTCCAATGTGAGATGTTGGACTTTCTCTGTCAAAAACCTTACCAGAAAAACCTCTCTATCGTCTCGGGTGATTCGTTTCCTGAAAATTTCCATGATATTTCTATTCCTTAGCATGAGGCAAGTTTCCATGCAAATCTAGAAACTATTCAAAACCTAAGGAGAAGTGTTTTATTAACTATTAGATCAAGGAAAGAATAATGCGCTTTTTTTGGGTGTAACAATAGATTGCATTCTTCAAGAAATAGCAACTATCAATCAATAAAGTATTCTCCATTTTGACTTCTTCCCATCTTCGACGCAAGTCCTTCATTTCATTTATGGAAAATTGGGGATTTTTGGATCCCTCGTCTCTATCGTCTCTGGTGATTCCATCCAATTAACGCCATTCCAAACACTCACAAATCGGCCTCCAACCTGGTCTCCAATTCGGAGACTCTTGTCGTGATCTCGCTAGCTCCACGTGCGGTTTCGTTCGCTCACGATCGTTCGCTTTGCCCGCTGTCTAATTGGGGGACCCGTGAAAGTATTTGCGCTGATGGGTTGGAAAATAGACATAGTTCGGCCCTTTGGACCGTACAAATCTCTCATTAGGCCTTTCAGACAGTTCAGAAAAGTCCACGGTCACACTCAGGCCCTTCTGGCCTTCAAAAATTTTCATTCCAGTCCTTCGGGTCTTTCAGAAACTTCATTCCTGCCCTTCGGGCCGTCAAAACAGTGATTCAGGTCTTACACACATCGGTGCAATTTGCGTTTTTTGATGAATTTTGATGAAAGATGTGTCATTCTACACAGAAAAATGTACTCATTTCAAAACAGGAAAAATTTTCCAAATTCTCCTGACAGATTTTTTGAAAAATCGTTTTTTAGTGGAAAGAGCGTCATTTACAACGGAGAACCCCTTCTTTTCGAAGCCTTTAACTTGGTGACATCGCAAAATCGAAAGGTGTAAGGTGATAGATTCGATTTATTAGATTCTTATCTTGCTTTTCACACCAAAAGCAAGCAATTATAAAGCCTCCACAAAAACTAGTAGTATTGTGAATCTAAAAATAACTGTCTGTCTGTTTGTAATGACCTCAGAAAGCGACTTTTAAATGCTCAAAATTCCATTCTCAAACATCTATTCCGTCTCGTCAAAACAGTTATTCCTGCCCTTTGGGCCGTCAAAACTTTCACTTTGACACCTTGGCATCGTCGCTCCATTCATTCTTCCCATTTCCTTGAATTCAAAACGAATTCACTAATTGATAGGAATGGGTGTGATGGCCGTCGCTCTATTCATCACGATTTTCCTTCTTTTCCATCGAATTTCTTCGTCAAAGTTGGTCAGAAAGGGATTTTCGATGATCTTAGATTTTAGCAGTAGAGACGAGGGCTCGTCGTCAAGTTATACCCATCAATTTGTCTATCCCATCAATTTGAGGTCTTGCCAAAGAAATTTGTGGGTTTTTTTGGAGAAAAGCAAATCAATAAAGCGAATTCGGTAGAATGAACAAGAAATAGGTTTGAGTGTCCCAATGACAAGACTTTTCAGGAGTAAAACCCAACAAGAACTCGTCGAGGCTCGAGGAAAAATCTGCGAACTCTGCGAAGTCGCCGAAATGTCAAGGACCTTTTCCGCGTGGAAAGCCGATTTGTACGTTGAAAACTGTTCGAATTTGACTGGCTAGAGTTGTTCAGCGAGAAGGAGTTGAACGAAACGAGGGAAGAAAATGCCGAGGTCGAGAGGAAATTGAGGTCCGAAAGCATGGAGCTAAAGGCCGAGTTGTGAGTCTTCTTCTCTCTTTGGTTATTCTTTGTTATGACAGATTGTTAGCTAACAGAACTCCTTTTAGAGCAACGAAAATCACCGAATTGAGGGCTCAAATGTGAGTTCATCTCTTGTCGACTGAGACTTAAGAAAAGAGTTTTTTCATTTCCCAAACACCCATTCCACTCAATCCAATCAATTCCTCTTTAGACAATTTGAAAGGGAAAACAAAACGGCCGAAATCGCGAAGTTGCAGGAGGATTTGTGAGTTTGTTTGATGGAAAATGAAGTAGTATTTGTTTCAAAAAAGTCCGGAGTCAAGATTTTCGAAGAAATTCAGAAATTGAACGATGTCTTTCTTGGATCTGGATGGATGGTCGTATTTGGAAAAAACCGCTTCTTGGTACAAGGTTTGGTGGCTGTTTTGAACCAGGATTATCTTCATCTCAAGGGGATCGAACAAAAAATGACATTCGATGAAGCCGAGGCATATTGTGCGAGTCGAAAGAGCCATCTAGTCTCCATTCACAGTCAGGAAGAGAACGACTTTGTTCAGAAACTCGGTAAGAAATCGAAATGATTCAATTCTGAAAATTCATGATTTTCGTAGGAATTTCTGCTTTATAAACCAAAAACAATATTTATTTCAGCGAAAACTGTTGATTCAGATGCTTGGTTCTGCATCGGACTGAAGGTTGAATTTTTCTTATTGAAAGACATAAATGAATATATTAAACTTAATTCTTTCATTTTTTTCTGCCACTTTGGAACGCACTTTGTAAAAAAAGATTCGTTTGACTGATAGTTCTTTGACAGAAATCTGAAATGATAGAATTTATAGAAGTCTAATTTGAATTGAAAAACTAGAATAGTTTTAAAATGGAAAAAAAATATGGTTGAAATAGCAATAGTGAAACATAAAATTTTTTTGTTCAGAGAAATCCGAACAAAGGAAATGCTTTTGAATGGATGGATGGAAGTTCGGTGGATTTCACGAATTGGAAGGTTGGAGAGCCGGGTCCGAACACCCACGCTTATGTGAGATTTTCAGCGTGAAATCATCGAAATTTGTTGCGATTTCCAATGCGTAATTAATCTTAAAATTTTTCGATCAATCTGAGGAAATTTCTTTGTGTAAAATAACGTAAAGTGTTTTATCAAAGGATTTCCATCCGAAATGAACAAATTTCAGCTTTGGAGCGACACTGGGAAATGGGGAGTCGATCCTCCTACCAGACAGCATCGTTTTATATGCAAAAGGAGCACTTAATTCTGAGAAATGCCTTATGTTCTTTTTGAAAAACCAACAAATCCCATTTTATTCAATCTTCTGAAAACACACAACTGCACATTATCTTTTTCGTTATTTCTGAATTGTTTGAATTGTTCAAAGTCTCATAAAAATTTTTCTCGAAAACTCAGAATTCCGCCTGAAGCTGCAAGTATTTTGCTCTCTCGTCGCTCCTGAATAGACTATTAGATCTGGATTTCAACAATCAAGAGGGATTTCATTCGAAATTCCCCATTCATTTGCCAAGTGATGTTCTCGGCGACGTCTGCGAAGAATTACGTGTAGCTATGGTTTGAATGAAAACTTTATTATTGTGGGTAGTTATTAAATGATCGTAATGAAGAGGGATGCTTTCAAACAATGATCATCAATCACTTTCTTTAGAAGTCGCCATTCTTGAAGTATCCCGAATCGACGCTGTGCTCGCCGTGTTTGTGCGATTGATATCTAAATGTTGCAAGTTGGTCAAGAACGCAGATACATTTCCACTAGTTTATCTCTCGATGTGTCAATCCACTTGAATCCGGAAGCTCGGAACTGATTTTCTCCGGCACCCACTGTGGCGAATTGCACTGCTCTGCAGTTAGTCAAAAATTCAATACACAAGTTAAAATTCAAAGTTGATGGATAAACTACCGTAATCAGTCACTAGACGATATACAGCTGTCCGTTTGTCGTAGCATGTATACTTAAAAACCCATTATTTTTAAGCTTTGTTTTTGAGTGAGTCGTGGTCTCCTTTTTTCGCTATTTTGATCTTTTTTTTTTCACATGCAAGTGTTGAATTAATTGTGATAGTGCCAGATTGCTCCAGGTTGGTTATCTCTTTTGCCTCACTCTTCCGCACTAGCGATAATCATTTTTCTTTCTAGTAAACGGTTCAGGAGACCGAAACAACAAACAGATTTTCAATGAATCTGGATTGAAAAGAAAGAAGCAAACGTGAATCTGGGAAAAAGTTGAACTGTGTATATCCAACAAAATTGGGAAAGAGTTTGTTAAAGATTTGCAATTTCACAGACAGGCACAGAAACAGACCTCATAACGATATATGCAGGATTCTCGGGTAGTTGACACAAACCGACGGTTTGATTTTACCACCTGAAACAACCCGAAATACCACTTTTTTTTGTTTTTTGTTGTGACTGTTTCTGATAGAAGCAAAGATTCGGCGAAAAACCCACAAATCGGTTGGGGATTCGAGAGATCGTCCATTTCGGTTGCTAGACGATTGGATGCCTACAAAATGACTAAATTTTCCCAAAGAACTAGTGAAAATTAAAGGAAAAGACTACTAAATAAGCAACCCTTCTCTTTAACTATCACTCCGAAGAACGCATCTCCACGAGAGATCAAGGTGGGATTTAACCAAAACTCTATCAATTAGCCTTGAAAACCAACCAAGTTAGACCCTATTTGTCATCCATTCTTCAAGTCGAAACCACCATCATAAATAACATTCATAAATAGCCCACGTAAATAGCCCTTTTTGCCCACGGACCCTGGCTTTCGAGAAAAGCGCATGCAAAGTTTCGGCCATTTTCGCCAAACTCTCACCTCACCTATAAGAGGGTGTGACCGCGAAGGGACGAAAAGCAAAGGCGCTCTAAGGGACTGCTTTAGGCTATCAAAATAGTGCAATTTTTTCCCTGGGTCCGATTCCTCTCGCGGCCCTATTTTTGGCTTTTCTTTTGCAAAACTTCCGCAAAACATTTTTTTGGAGTTCCTAAAGTGTTTGCTTTTAGCTTTTTTTAAGGCTTTTTTTCTTTTTGAACTATTTATGAATAAAGAAAAATTTAAAATCAACAACCATAATGAGGGGGTTCGAAAAATCGTAAAAACAATAACGGTTTGCGCATTTAGCACACTCAATAAACGCCAATTCTGAACAATTAACTTCATCACATTCA